CCGGGGCCGCAGAATAGGCTGTATCCGGTGCCGCACTGGACGATGCCGCCTTGTAGCGCGCAGGTGGGTATGCGGGAAAGCGGCTTGTGATGTAGACGGAAGTGGTCTGCTAGCTCTCCGGGCCTCTCAAAGCGGATGTGCGGCGCGCATGGGCAGTCGGCGAGGGGGCAGACGTATGGCTTGTCGTCGGCTGGGCGCGGGATCGGGTCGGCAAGTGCAAAGGGAGGGTCAGGGATTACTTGCGCGACATGGGCAAAGGGGCCCGCGGCGGCGGGGGAGACGGTGACAGCAGAGGCGGGGACGAGCAGCGGCAGGCCTACCCCGTCGTCGTCGGGGCTCTGGGAGCCTAGGCCGTGGTCTCCCTCCTCGTCCTCTTCCTCGGAGAGGTCGTCATCGAGTGGCAAGCCCACGTCGCTGTTGGCGTCGGTTGGCGGTGGGGCGTCGGCGGCGGGCGGCGGGCCTAGGCGCGAAGGTCCGGGGCGGCCGGACGGCGGCGACGAGGGAGGCGAGGGCGGCGGCGAGGGGGGTGGCGAGGTCGGCATTGGTGGGGGCGGCGGCGGTGGTCGGGGATAGGGCGGGGCGGGAGGGGAGCAGCAGCGGGGGGAGAGGGTGGCGGGGCGGGCGGCAGGCGAGGGAGAGGACGGGTCGACCGGAGGGCAGATGGTGCACATGGGACGCTCGGCTTGGGCGGCGGGCAGGGTGCCAGAGGCGAGGCTTTCCACGAGGTCGAGCCAGCAGTCATGGCAGAGGAAGTGGCCACACGCGAGGGTGACGACGAGAGGCTGGCCCTCGGAGAAGAGCGCCGTCCTGTGGCAATCCATGCAAACGGGCGGGGAGGAGGGGCGGGGCGGGGCGGGGCCAATTTGTTCGGTAGATACGGCATGCGAGTGGAGCGGGGGGAGGGAGAGGGGGGACGAGGCGGCGGCGGGGCCTGTAAGCGGCTGGGCAAAGGGGAGGGGGAACGAAGGAGGATTGGAGAGGCGTGGGGAGCCGTCATATGGGAGCGCGGGCGGGAGAACTAACGGAGGGTGCCAGGGGGTGTGCGGCGGTTCACGGGGCGTGGTATGGGTATGGGCATGCGAGATCGGGAGCGAGGTGGAGGGCTGGGCGCCGCAGGGCATGCACGTAGGGGCGGCTTCTGGTAGGCGGGTGAGCATGGGGGAATGGGCATGGGATGGGTATGGCGTGGGCGTCCCGCCGACCGCGGGATGGGCATGGCATGCGCATGGCTCGATGGCGGCGGCGGGACTCCCACGGGGACGTAGATCCGCGAGAGCCCCCAGCTCCTAGGCGGAGTCGGGGCGCGGGCACGGGGGGTAGTGAATGGCGCCACAGCGGCAGCGGGGCGAATTCTCGTCGAGAAAGCGGCCCCAGTCAAAATCGCAGTTGACGCACTGCTCGCCCGGGTGGCTGAGGAAGCAGGTGAGG